GCAATATGCTGACTCTGTAAACCGCTTAGAGAGGGCTGAAAGCCCTATGAAGCGGTATATAAGTCTAACTGCTATTGCTATTGCTATTTTCAGCTGCGACAGCCTCCTGCAAGCCCCTGCCAGTGAAAACAGAGCGTGGGAGGGCCAAGCTCCATTTTTGCTGAGAGAGGCACCATGGGCCGGTCCTTTGTGGGCCAGATCTAAGTACCCCATGGGCCGGATTTGGCCCGTGGGCCTTGAGTTTGACACCCTTTGCTTATAGCAATGTCACTTAGACTTATAAATCAGTGCTTTATAGCTGTCTCTAAGCAGTTCACAGAGTCAGCCTATTTCCCCTCAAAAATCTGGGCCCTCATATATAAGTATATAGGACCTCTTATAGACTTGAGGCTCTCTGAACATTTAGATTTTTGGGGTAATTCTACAGTCAGCAAGATTCCTCCTGCTTCTCTTTGTTGAAGGTGTAACGCAGAGTCAAAGTTAAAGGTTCCCCTCGCAGATACGTGTTAGTCATTCCCAACTCTAGGGGGCAGTGGTCATCTCCATTTCAAAGCCGAAGAGCCAGCGCTGTCCGAAGACATCTCCGTGGTCATGTAGCCGGCATGACTAAATGCCGAAGGTGCACGGAACGCTGTAACCTTCCTATTTTTCTACTTGCATTTTTTATGTGCTTTCGGACTGCTAGGTAGGCAGAAGCTGGGACAAGTAACGGGAGCTCACTCCGTTACGCGGCACTAGGGATTCGAGCCACCGAACTGCCAACCTTTCTGATCGACAAGCTCAGTGTCTTAGCCACTGAGTCACTACATCCCTTGTAACGCAGAGTAAAGCAATGCCAAATAATGTCTTTCAGGTATATTTGGGACTAGCCTTCCCTTCATTTTTTTTTTAAAGGCAAATTCATAGAGTTAAGCCACATCCTCAGTGACAGCACTGAACCAATGTTCTTCTCTCTGTCTCTGTCTCTCTGTCTCTCTGTCTGTCTGTCTGTCTCTCTCTCTCTGTCTCTCTGTCTCTCTCTCTCTCCTTAAAGCCACCGTCATCTTGCTTGAGCCCCACTGCAGATATATGCCCCCCACCCCCGGCATGCAACTCCAAAGTACCTTAAAAAGGGACCAGTGAGGATGACGCTATATAACACACACCTTGACTATTTTTCTTAATAAAAAGCAGCTGGAGGGGGCAGTATTGAATTGATGAAGTATCTCATTTTCTTTAACAGGTTCTCTTTTTTCATTCAAAGTTGCTGGCTGAGGAAAGGGAGAAAACTTTAAATTGGGGAAAACACCCACCAGCCAAAAAGTCCC